GCAGCAGCCAGACCCAGCAGGGACAGGAACAGAAGCACAACGGGTGGAGAAGCACTGAGCCCCGGGGCCATTCCTGCAGGGATCAAGTGAGTGCCTCCAGGGAAGGAGATGCCCAGCTTAGTGATTTTAAGCAATCTGGTCTCTGGTTTTTATGGACGATCTTTAGACTTACTTGCATTTGGTAAATATTTAATCAAGGACATGGCAAAGGCGGTAGAAAAGCTGTTTATGTTCCTCCTATTTGACAGACACAAATCAGGGCAGGAGCTACCCTGGGAAACACCCCCTCTCTGCATTGGAGGAACACCGGGTTTGGAGGAACACTGCCTGGTTAAGTAGGGAGGAGGTCAGGAAGTCCAAAGTGCAGCTAGGTCTGAACTTGGCCAGGGTTGAAAATAACAAGAAGGGCCACTACTGGTCTGTCAGCCACAACAGAAAGGTCAAAGGAAGTGTTTCTCCCCCAGTAAGCAAGACTAGGAAACTGAGAATAATGGACAAGGTGAAGACTGAGGGACTCAAGAACTTTTTTTGCCTCAGCCTTCAATGGAAACCTCTCTTCCCGCACCTCTTGAAAGGATGGATGGCAAGATTGGGCTGGGGGAGCAAAATTCCACCCAGTGTAAGAGAAAATCACATTGTTGACCACTTGAGGAATCCAAACATAAGGGCACCTGATGACCCAAACACAAGACCTCATGAGATGCATCCAAGAGTCCTGAGGGAATTGTTTGATGGAGTTGCCAAGTCACTCTCCATTATACTTGAAAAGTCCTGGCAGGTAAGTGAAGTCACCGTGACTGGGAAAAGGGAAACTTTGTACCGACCTTTAAAAAGGACAGGAAGGAATCCCCTAGGAGCTACCAACCTGTCAGCCTCACCTCTGTGCCATGGAACAGACCCTTCTAGGAGACATTCTATGATTTAAGGAAATGAGGGATCCTTCAACAATGGTCTGCTCAAAAGAGCTAATTAACAGATCATTATTTTCCAAACAACAATTTTCAGTGTAAGATCACTCCTCCCCTCCTGCCATTCCATATAGTTTTTTGCTTGCAAAAGATTAGAAAAAATATAAAGTTTCATGTTCCATGGGAAACGG